TCTTGGACATGTCAACAAGAAGCGCATAGCCCAACTCCAAAAGGATGGAGTGTTGGGTTCATTTGACCTAAAGTCAGATGATACGTGCGAGTCTTGTTTTCTTGGAAAGATGACTAAATCACCTTTCACTGGTACTTGTGAAAGAGGTGAGGGATTGTTGGACCTCATACACATAGATGTGTGTGGGCGCTTCAGATCCACCATAAGGGATGCAAACCGCTTCTATGTGACTTTTACTGATGATTATAGTAGATATGGATATATCTACTTAATCAAGAACACATGTCAGAAACCTTTGAAAAGTTCAAAGAGTTTAAACAAGAAGTGGAGAATCAATTGGGCACGAAGATAAAGATGCTCAGATCTGATAGGGGTGGTGAGTATCGAGTTCCACGACTATCTTTAGGAATGTGGAATTGTTTCACAATTGACACCTCCTATAACACCACAACTTAATGGTGTGGATGAGAGGCGTAATTGAACCTTGCTGGACATGGTTCATTCCATGATGAGTCGAGCTTCGCTACCAATCTCATTTTGGGGTATGCCTTAGAGACTGCCGCCCATATCCTTAATCTAGTCCCAAGTAAGAAGGTTGCCAAAACACCTCATGAAATCTGGACATGGAAAGTTCCCTCGTTGGCACATATAAAGGTTTGGGGTTGCGAAGCTTTCGTAAGATGAAAGACTCATGACAAGCTTGAACCTCGAAGTGAGCGGTGTATTTTCATCGGTTACCTACATAAATTCTTTGCATATCTCTTCTACGGACCTAGTGATAACGTGGTCTTCATAACAAGGAGATGAGTTTTCTGTGAGAGGGAACTCATATGTAAAGGGGACAGTGGGAGGAAAATTGATCTTGAAGAGCTTCAAGAATGAAGCGGTGAAGGAACCTATAACACTAGCAATCAACCTGAGGAAGAAATTCATGTTGAACCCATTGACGATTCATTACCTCTTCCGCTCTTCGATGTTCCACTCGAGTTAGAATGGCACATGAGTTTTATGGTTTTCATATTACTACAGATGGTGATACATTTATTAGGGATAATACACTGGTAAATTTAGATGAGCCTTCTAGCTAAAAGGAAGACATGGCGGGCCTTGAGTCTGCAAAATAGAAAGAGGCAATGGAAAGCGAGATCCAGTCCATGTATGACAATCAAGTTTGGAACTTGGATGACAATGTACCAGGTCGAAAGACAGTTGGGTGCAAATGGATCTTCAAGAAGAAGACCGAAATAGATGCAAAGGTGCACACATTCAAGGCACGACTAGTTGCGAAGGGATTTACTCAAACCCCGGGTGTTGACTATGATGAGACCTTCTCACCAGTAGCCGAGAGCAAGTCTATTAGGGTTATGTTAGCCATCGCTATATTTCATGATTATGAAATATGGCAGATGGATGTCAAAACCGCTTTCCTTAACTTGAAGCTGGTTGAAGATGTTTACATGTGTCAGCCATAAGGTTTTGTGGATGCTAAATACCATAATAGAGTGTGCAAGCTTTAGAAATCCATTTATCGATTGAAGCAAGCGTCTCGAAGATGGAATCTTTGCTTCGATGAGAAAGTCAAAGAGTTTGGTTTCTCCGGGAGTGAGGATGAGTCATGTGTATATGTCAAAGCTAGTAGGAGTATAGTTAGCTTTCAAGTTTTATATGTCGATGACATACTGCTCATAGGAAACGACGTTCAACCCTGCAGGAGGTTAAGTCCTAGCTTGGGAAGTGTTTCGATATGAAGGAGCTAGGGGAAGCTACTTATATTATGGGGATTAGGATCTTGAGAAATAGGAGTAAAAGACTAATAGGACTTAGTCGGACTACTTACTTGGACAAGGTGCTAAAGCGTTTTAGGATGGAGAATTCCAAGAAAGGGGAGCTACCTATCCAGAGCAATACCAAACTGAGTAAGACTCAGAGTCCGAGTACTGATGCAGAGATACCAAAAATGAGTCGAGTGCCATATGCTTCCGCCGTTGGCTTGATCATGTACGCTATGACATGTAGTCGTCCTGATGTGGCTTTTGCGTTGAGCATGGTAAGTCAATATCAAGGGAATCCGGGTAGAGCTCACTAGATAGCAGTTAAGAGCATTCTTAAGTATCTGCGAAGGACTAAGGACTGGGTCCTTATACTTGGTGGCAGTGATGACTTGAGAATGATAGCGTATAGTGATTCCAGCTTTCAGACCGACAGAGATAACTTCCGCTCTCAGTCGGGCTGGGTGTTTACCTTAAATGGAGGAGTAGGGACTTGGAAGAGTTCCAAGCAGGAGACCGTAGCCGATTCAACGTGCAAATCAGAGTTCATAGTAGCGAGCGAAGCGTCAAAGGAGGCTATATGGTTGAACAACTTCATTGGAGACCATGGAGTGGTACCATCCATAAAGGAGCCCATGGAGATTTTATGCAATAATGAAGGTGCAGTTGCCTTAACCAAGGAACTGAGGGATCATGGAAGATCCAAACGTATCGATAGAAACTATCACTTCATCAGACATCGTGTAGAAGAAGGACTCCTCGTCCTCAAGAAGGTAACGTCAGAAGAGAATCCCATGGATCCCTCACAAAGGGTATAATAAGGATCAAGCACGTTCAACATGTGAGGTGAATTGGTCTGAAGGATGATATTAGTTTTAGTGATTAGATAGATGTTTAGAAAGTTGCAACAGATAAATGTAATTAACATTTGATGATTAAGTAATGGAGATTTATTTATGAGTAATGTTTACTATCTTGTGTCAATTGTTTACTATTGTTTCACTTTTGCATGTTTTACTTCCTGAATAATAGGATTGTTCAAACTATCCACAGTCGATCATATTTTTGGAAGTAAGTTATGAATGAAGACTTTCATGAATTGGCTTGTAGATTGTCTAAGTGCTTAGCCATAGCAAAAGTGTGCTGCAACATTCATGAGTACTCATAAAATAAGATTTGAGTATTGGATTAAGCCCACGTTCATTGGAATTACTTCATGGAATTTATAACGAGTAATTGTGAGACGATAACGTCGTATAATCCTTAAACCGAGATATAGGATTTGTTGTTTACGAGTTGGTTGTGAATTGATAATGCATAAACGCATCAGTAGATTGATGTTATAAAACGTGTTGTGTATGATTTTCTGAGTAAATAGTACAAGCATATAAGTCAAAGTTTATCTGTTCCTTTTTCCCTAACGGGAAAAGCGATATCTTGGGCCCCTCGATGATTTTGTGTTGACTTATGTGCCGGGCCCGGTCAGGACTGATTTTTTGTGTTCAATTAAGTTCGTTGTCAAACAAATCAGAAATCGGGAAACAAATTGTTGGACATTGAGAATGATTATGTTCCATGTCTTTTTCCACACGATATCTTGCATAACGGAGGATTATATGATCCCTTATCTAAAGGAAGCGTTATTGAGTAGGTCAGAGTTCGACAACGGCTTTTGAGAGCAACGATTCCTAATCAGATTCTGAAGCCATACTTGCAATTTTAGTTATTAGACTTATCCAAGTGGGAGACTTGATCTGATACTATCATGGTCTTTTTGGGTTGCGTTCACCATAGCAACTTTAAATGATGACTTTTGGAGAGAGAGGTTATTTAATGACTTATTAATATATTATAAAAATAATATATTAATTGGAAATCATATTATTTAACTAGTATTTAATCAAAAATTAATTTTGGTATTGATTTTGGGATTAAAGGAACTGATTAAATGTACAGGGACTGGTTATGGAAATAATTGATAGTTGCAAACTGGGCTGCTGGACTGCCTTGGAATGGGTTGGACGAAATCTATAGGAGGTCCTATAGAAATCCTCCAAGGCCTTCTAGAAGGAAGTACATGGGCTGCTTGGAGCCTAAACAAGGAATTAGGGTTTCACCTGGAAAGCCTAGCAGCCACAAGTATATAAAGGCCCTTAGACCTCTTGAAATCGGCCACTACTTCATAAGGAGAAACCCTAGCCGATTTATGCCCCTCTCTCACTCATCCCGTGCTTTTGGTGATTATGATTCCATTAGAGGTGCAACACGTGATGCACTCAAGCTTTCAAGAGTTAAGATCATCTGTGGATTACTTGTTATTACGAGATAACAAGAAAGGTAACAATCAAACCCTAGTTTCATATTGAGTTCTGAAATTGTATGCTAGTAATTGGGTTATTGCTATGGAACTCCTATTTGCATGTATAACTGGTGTAAAACTTAGATTCAAAGCAATTAGGGTTGCATGATCACATAGGAATGTTGTTGTGCTCAAAACCCATCAGTTATATGTTGTTGGAAGGGATGAAAACAATGGAATTTATCCTATTGCATGGGTAGTAGTGTGTGTGGAGAATAAGGAAAATTCGAAGTTGTTTTTGGATCTACTCATTGATGACTTGGGACTTAATTTAGGTTATGAATACAGTGTAATATCTGATCAACACAAGACACTTTACTTCTTTATCCTTCATTTCCCTTTCTAGTTGCATAATTATTTTGACATAATTTACAATTTTTAACAGGTATAGTGGTGCCCAATATGAAACCATATTCTAGAAGGCTTGTAAAGCAACAACCGAGGTAGATTTTAAGATTTCCATGAAAGAACTTGAAGATTTAAACGCAAGTTCTCATAAGTATCTAATGGAAAAGGACCCCAAAACATGGTCAATTGCCTACTTTGAAACTAGAAGATGTTGACCCCAAAACATGGTCAACATGAATGCCAAGGCCCAAGGACCGGGCAATAAAATTTTCCCAAAAATTAGACATTTATTGAATGAGGTTAAGAAATTCCAACGACATTACCAACTATTACCTAGTGGGTTAAATCAGTTTGAAGTAAGAGGAACTAGATATGGTTTTGAGGTAGATATTGAAAGGAAAACTTGCTCATATAGGCTATGCAAACTCAATAGAATTGGTTGTGTTTATTTTGTTGCAACCATTAGTTTTATGAATAGGGATGTACAGTCTTATGTTGACTAAACGTTTAGTAGCATTACCTATATGAAAGCAATCAAGAATAGGTTAGCACCTATGAATGGAAGGAACTTGTGGCCAAGAACTTTGTACACACCAGCTTTACCTCCTATTCATAGAAAAATGCCAGGGAGACATGCAACTAAAAGGAAAAGGGATGCAATAAAAAACCAGTCAAATAACAAACCAAATAAGAGTACTAAAACACAAACCAATGATGTGCAACAGAGGGTATCTAAGGCTGGAAAGACACAAAAATGTAGCCTTTTAAGGTTGAAGGCACAACAAAACAACTTGTCCTACAGCTGGAAAGCCTCCTAAAATCAATGTCAAAAGAAAAAGAAAACATGTTAATATATAATTAGATTATTTGTTGTGTCTTTATTTTTTTGCTAATGTTCTATCATATAGGCGAATGAGGGTGGTGCTGAAGTCAATGATGGTGGTGATGCAGTCAATGATGGTCGTGAAGGAGGTTATAATGATGGTGGTGAATGAGGTCATAATGATAAACAAGACCATGATGAGGTGGAACTTGTACCTATGGAATTTAATACATCGGGAAATGGAGATGCAGTCAATGCTGGTGGTGACGATGACAATATTAATATTGATGATGATGCAGTCAATGGTGGTGATGATGCAGACAATGTGAATGATGGTGATGATATTGTAAGTGAAGGTAGTGATGTAGACAATGTGAATGATGATGGTGATGTATACATTGTAAATGATGGTAGTGATGGGGAAATTTTTAATGATGGTGGTGATGTGGACATTGTAAATGATGGTGGTGATCCAAATAAATGGTGGTAATGCATGTATTTTGATCCATGGTGGTGATGCAGTCAATAATGGTGCTGATGCATTCAATGATGGTGGTGTTGCAGACAATGTTAATGTTAATGAGATGCATGTGGAAAATGAGGTGATGGAAGGACCGATTAGAACCCTATTGAATAAGCTTAGAAGGAAAAAGTCTGAAAGGATTATCAAGTTGAAGCTGGCCAAGCGAGTTGGTGATGAAGATTCACCTGGGAATTCTAAATCAAAATCGCTTGCTATAGATTAAGATGCACTTTAATTGTTGTTAATGTTAATCTAGAACATGGTAGTTTAAGATTGATGTTTTCTGAATTTGGTTATATGTTAGTAAGTTGGTTGTTATTTTTAGTTATTTGTTGTGTTTTTATTAATTTCATTCTTTGTTATTAAGTTGCATGCATGGAAAGGCTTTAAGATTTTAAAATACGTAGGAAGGACATATATGGGCAATTATAAAATTTCGACCACATGGTGCCAATTTCGATTTGTCATACATTCTATCCTTTTGACAGTTTGTACACAAGGGACCACCACTGCACATAACTCAGTTCAATTTTAAATGGTCCAAGTGTGCTCCATATGCCTGAAAATGTGGTTCCAATAATTCAATTTAAATGGACCACATACATATCATTAAGTACACAAAGGTACAAACCAAGTGTTTCCCACAATCTGGATTCTATTGAAAAAGAATTGAATATAAGTCTTTCAACCATTACCATTTCCATTCATTTATTTATGGGAACGTTCATACATACACATACAAAAGTTGTTAAAATTACTACTATCCAAAATCTATATCTACCTTACATTCACATATCCTGATCATGTACCATCCATCCAAAACCCAAAAAATTTTCTACTTTGATGATCATCTACACATACACTACAAAAAGACTGGTTGGAATTATAAAACGTCACCATCAGTACTAGTATAAGATCAGCTGCACTTCAACCAAATTTAACCACATCCCAATGATTGAAATGATCAAAAATTGGACAACACTTCAACTAGATCATATTGTTTTCCTTCTGCGGCTCCATCAACTCTCTGTCAAAAACTTCTTTCTCAGCTTCCCTATCTTGCTTCAACTTAACCAATTTCTTATGTGCCTTTGCAACCTCAATGTGGTCTTCCTTTTTCGTAGCTGAACACTCATCTTACAAAGCTGGTATTTGTAATACCCTTCATCCAATTCATCGTCTTTCCACATAAAAAATTTAAATTTTGGACCTTGAGCTGACTGATGAAAAAGGAAGAACACAATTAGGGTTACGATTAGGGAAAATGTGCACATTTTCCAGCTACCGATAGCAAATAAAGTGTAAGTAAAGGGATGGAATACTCACCACGAAATTTTTGCAGTTCCAAAACCTTTGGGCTACATTATCACGAGTCCTTTCCACGTTGATTCCATCCTTACAGCCATATGGGGGACATGATTCATCATCGCCATGGTGTCGAGGATGAAGACTGTTAATGGATCGAGTAGAAGTGGTAGACATTGCTTTGGTTTTAATGATCAAGAAGGGGTATCGGGAGGGGAATGAGTGACCTAATTTTGGGTAACAACGTATAACTTTTGTTTCGATAGAGGGTTCCATTTAAGGAAGGTATGCAGCCGTATACAGTGATGTGGTAAGGTATAAGTGCACATATGTCAAGACACGTCAGTGTGTGACCCGTTAACCGAATACAATTTCCTCCAAGGGTGTAACTACTCGGTATTCCCTAACGTTAAGGACTAACTCATCACAAAACATACATGAGTGACTAATTGTGCAAAGTGGCCAAACTCCGTTGTGCTACAGTTCCAGAAAGCATTTTTTGACATTCTTTTACACGTTTTCTACATCATTTACATATTTTAAATTTTGGTCCAAGTTTTAAATTTTATTACAATTCTGATTCAATTTTTTTATAACTTATTATAAATTTTATTACAACTCTGATTCATTTTTTACAGCTTCTTTACATTTTTACAACTTTTTTACATTGTTCACAGCTTTTTAATATTTTTTATATCTTATTTTCAACTTTCTTTTATAATTTTTTGATTTTTTTACAATACTATATTAATTGTATGTATAAACTCTTTTTTACAACATATGTAACTTTTTACAAGCCTTTTTGAATGTTTTACATCATTTTTAACCTTTTTTTACAATGTAGGAAGGTTGAAGAAAAATAAAAAAAATATTTAAAAGCTTAAAAGAAAAGTAAAAAATGTTTAAATTTTATAATTTCTTTTTAAAGTTTTAAAAAACTGGTTAAAATAAGCTTGAAAACATTTGTTTGCCCTTATGTTAAAAAAAATTACTTATGGTTTTTAACGTTTTACTTGAAAAGGGTTTTATCATGAGATTGAAATCTTGAAAAATTAAAAGAACAATGATGGTTATGGAAGACTAGATGAAGTATCGGTATTATATTTATATAACACCCAAAAATTGTAAACTTCGATACAGTTTGTGAATGTTTTTGTAAAATCGTATTTTATCATGGTCATGTGTAATTATATTTGCATAACTGTAGTGAATTATGTTTGTGGAAAGTACGTATGTTACATCTATGATGGTCCCACTTTACTATTACAAGTGTGATGTCTAGTTTTGAACTCTAATGGTTTTCGTCTTTTATTTGTGTATTATGCTTGTTTCAACTGTTCCACTTACATATGTTCTTGAATTTCTTTAATCGTTGACTCGTTATTTTTGACAATCTCTGGTCCTACAATAGGTTTTTCTCCAGCCTATGTATAAAAATTCAGTGTTCTACATGGTGCTCCATAAAAATCCTCATACAGTGCAATCTGAATACTGGAATGCTAAATCATTTAATAATCGTATTAACCAAAAGTAGGTGATCATCACAGGCACCAACAAAATCAATCACACCTTCTCGTAGCATATCCTCAGTCGTTTGAATTATGCTTTCACTCTGCCCTTCCAACTCACCGTAGTTAGTTGTGCTCATTAACACTTTAGAACCCATCCGCTTCTACAAGTTTTTCCAAAATCGAGACATAGATCGACCGTCTATATCGGAAATAATAGAGACCAGTTGTCACACCCCTAAACCAGAACGGAATAAACGTCTGGGGGTGGGTGACTTCATGTATAGTATCATAACAATTGAATATTAATGATCAAATCCATACAACCATCATATTGATAATTTATAAGTTTAAATTGTATTCAAATCATTGTTTGTTTGAAATCAAATACATATGACGTGATGCTGAAGCGCTCCATCCTGAAAATCCGTTTTGATTACATGTTTACTGATTTCCTGAGAATACAAGTAGTTTTGAAAAGTGTCAACAATTAAGTTGGTGAGTTTATAAGTGTTTTATATGAGAACTATTGGTAACTTTTCCTTGTTAAAATGATAGAGTGTACATTCAGAAAATCCAATATTTTCTTTAGAATGAGATGTAAGTCTTAAATCCAAAGACTAAAAATGTAAGTAGGTTTGTATTGGAAAATAGTATGATCAAGTTTTATCTTTATATAAAACTACTTGAATGTATGTTAACCCCACAAACCAAATGTATTATTAATACCCCATGTGAGTGATCATAACGATGCTAGCGACTAGTTGGCCTGTTACGACGTTCTTCAGGCGTCAGAATGTTAGACATTTGTCATCCTGGACTTGCCGGTCTAACTGTAGCTAACGACTTAGGTGCAGAGTAGTCATTCCCATATAGATCTATACACAAGTGTCACGCTCTCTTCCCGGGACTCTACTTATAATACAAGACTTTTGTAGGTACCCTGGTAGGTACGTGAAGACGATGTCTCACAAAATTGTATTAACGGTTTACGTGTAGTGTAATCAAAACCCTTTTGTAATCAAAAAATTTGCCTTCCATAGTAGTTACATAGTGTAAAATAATTATACCTTTAAATAATCATTTCGTTGACATGAAAAATCTTTGTGTGTAATGTTATCATTTTACCATGATAAAAGTAATATAGAATGAAATAATTATATATGTATTTTATATAATTATACACTTTTGCTCAGCATATTACAAAAGTGTTTAAGTCTTATAAACAATCCTTATATAGTTTATTATCCTAATCAAATTTGTCCCCATTATATATATATATATATATATATATATATATATATATATATATATATATATATATTTCTACAAGAATAACATAGCGTATTTGTGCTCGTTTTTCCAAACTTTGTGTTTTTAGCAAAACTTTGTATGGAAAGTTCACAAGTTTTGAGGTAAAATTGTTTCATGAGTTTAACACTTTTGTACAAAAAGGTAATAAAACCTATTTAACCATTTTCTATTTTAACACAAGTTCTCTTGTGTTTACTTTTATTCCCCCCGCCCACTAAAAGATAGAAAATCTTGAAAAGTGTAAGGGTATGAACTTGTGAGAACAAGATAGATCTGATGCGCAGGGACAATGTTTGAAAACTCAAACCTTGAGTAAATGCTTAAGATCAATGTCTGCTTGCTAATAAATGTTCTAGTCAAGCCTGGATAGACCAGTCAAGTCTAAGTTAATGCATTCAACAAATAATCAAGCCATAAATGAAGAATGAGAATTAAGATCAAATTAAAGTTAATGCCAAGAAGAATTAAGATCAAAGTAAAGTTAATGCATTCAACAAATAATCAAGCCATAAATAAATGTTCTAGTCAAGAAGAATGTTTGAAAGAGAATTGAAGTAACTTAGTAAATGCCAAAATGAGTGAAAGATTCGTCATTTAACTTAGCATTGAAAGCTCCTATAAATAGGAGTGTATGAAACATGGTACAAACTGATAAACATACATATGACCGGATAAAAGGAATGATTCTTACATTCTGATTGTCCAACTTGACAAACATACAAAGTCCTATGAAATGTCTAATCATGCAAAGTGATAAAAGTAGTTAATACACAAAGAGACAAAAAACAGTGACTTCGGATCAGCACACATTCCGGACATAATGTCCATTCCGGAATGTCTTCACTTATGAACTTCTCATCTTCTTCTCTCCAAGTCCGGATAGATTTCAGACTACTCTTCACTTCGGAACTCTTGCTGACTTCGGAATTGACATTTGGACTTATGATTGCTAGAGGTTCACTTTCAGGCTCCAACAATCTCCCCCTAAGTGAACTTAGCAATCAAGTCAGCTTAGATGGGTTCTTCCTTGATGAAGGTGTAAGCTCTAAACAAACATTCTATGACTTCAATGTACCAGGCCAACTGACTCACAAACTTTGCTTTGACCTTTTCCAGAGCTTCAGACTTGGATGCACGAGAAATGAACTTCCGAAGGGCTTTGGTAGGAACTAGGTGTTTGTAAAGGACTCGGAAAAAGTCCTTCTTGTTTATCTTCCTGGTTGTGTAGAAAAACCCTAGAACCGGGTCATCGATTGGAGCATCTGCAAGCAATTCATCTTCCGGAAGAAAAAAGTTGATTTTCAAAACAAAGTTTTCAGTTCCGAATAAGAGGGCAAGCTCATAGTCGCATCTGCAAAACTCCGCGACGTAGTCCTTGAGGAAACTCAGAGCAGCATGGTAAGCACCCATGCTGATATCATCGTTTTGAATTCCTCGAAAGTGAACAGCTAATGTGAGAATGTCGTTCGAATTCATCGAAGGAAAATCAGCGTCAGTGATGGTCCGTTGAGTTGTTTTGTTCCGGAGGATGTGAAATCGAAATAATGGGTAGTTGAGTTCGAATTTAACTAATATTTTTCTTCCAAAACCATGGACTTTGGTAATTCTTTTCCTCGTCCACACTTCCTTAAGAGGTTGTGCATTCTTGGAGTAGAATGTTTCAAGCCTTTCACGTTCAGTCCAAAGGATCACTTCCGGAACGTCATTGGGGTGAAGATGAGCGAATTTGATGTAGTATTTGCTGTATGGGGATAGAGGAAGATCGAGCTGTTCGGAGTCATTTGCTGGAACATCGTAATACATGAAAGGAATGATTTCATGATCACGGAGAATGCCTTCACGACATAGAGGAGATATTCCAATCATCGGATCAGGATTATCCTTGAGAGCTTAGATCCAGATGTTGTCCTCTAATGCCTTGTTAATTTCCTCCTGAGACCATCCATATTTTTGCTTTGAGGGAGGTCCGGAGTGGAAGGCTTGTTTTTCGGCTGTCATCGACTTTTTGCCTTTGTCTTTCATAAGTGCAGCCATGATGAACTTCATATTCTCTTCAACAACATATTCTAGAGTAGGGTTCAGAAGAGGTTCTTCCGGAATGTCATCAGGGATCCGGAGTGGAGAACCCTGGTCTATAGGAGCAATCTTTGGAGCCGGAATAGGAGGAATCATTGAAGGAGTGGCTCGGAAGGCTTGGATTGTGAGGAGTGATTTTGCTTTGGCCATTTGAATAGCCCTTTGGAGAACGTCAGGCAAAGAGGATGGCCAAGAAACTGCGGACCATATTCTCTTTTCTTCCTCTGTCATCACCTTTGGAGAAAGAGCTTGTTTTGGGGCTTCGAGACCAAGAACTCC